ATGAAAATCCTGAGATGAAAACTGGATGGCTGAGCAGCCACATGACTCTGCTTAGTGCCATAGAACTGTTCAATTAAAAAACATTTAGCCATGAGCTTTTGGCAAAGAGGTTTAAGATGCCCGTTAGGAGGCCTGGATCTCATTTTGGTGTGCTTGGGTTCTGTTCCCACCTGGCTGATTCCAGCTTCCTGGTAATGCAGCTCCTAACACGAGCTTCCTTGTTCAAAGAAAACTCATTTATTTGAGAGAGTGAGAGGGACACACACACACACACACACACACAGGTCTTCCATCTGCTGGCTCACTCTCCAAATGGCTGCAAAGGCCGGGGCTGTCCCAGGAGAAGCTGGGAGCCCAGAACTCCTTCTGGGTCTCCCATGGGGACTCAAAACAGCACCCATATGGGATACCAGTGTTGCGAGCAGCGGGTAACTGACAGCACAGTGCCTGCCGTTCCCCAGCTGCCTTGTACTGTGCACTCTGGGAGGCAGTGGTGATGGTTTCAGTACTTTGGTCTCTGCCACCCACAGGGAGACCCAGATTGAATTCCCTGCTCTAGCTTCTTTGCCTGGCTCAGCCCTGGCTGTTGTGGGCATTTGGGGGTGAGCAAGTGAATGAGAGAGCTATCTCTGTCTTTCTCTCCCTCCCTTTCAAATGAACGAAATAAGTAATTTTAAATGGTTAAAATGCTACATTTTGTATGAATATTTGCACTACAAAATGCAACATGTGACATGCATACACAAGTATAAAACTATATAATGTAAAGAGTAGGGTGAGCGTGCCTACAACCACCACCGAGTTAGCGTACATAACTGGGATGCTGGTCTATTAGTCCTCTGAAGAACAGACACTCTTAGGAGTTTATGTTGATCACTCCTATGCTGTTCTACCGATACAACCCTGGATAATGTACCAATTATCGTATGTATCTAAATGACTTTTGTAGGTATTGGGAGTTCTATTTCTTACGTGGAGCTATGCTTTTATATTTTTTATTTCATTTTATTGACAGGCAATTAGACAGTGAGAGAGAGAGACAAAGGTTTTCCTTCCGTTGGTTCACCCCCAAAATGGCCGCTATGGCCGGCGCACTGAGCCGATCCAAGCCAGGAGCCAGGTGCTTCCTCCTGGTCTCCCACACTGGTGCAGGGGCCCAAGCACTTGGGCCATCCTCCACTGCACTCCCGGGCCACAGCAGAGTGCTGGACTGGAAGAGGAGCAACCAGCACTAGAACCTGGTGCCCATATGGGATGCTGGTACTGCAAGGCAGAGGATTAACCAAGTGAGCCATGGTGCCAGCCCCCAGAGCTATGATTTTTAGATTTACTCACATTGTATCCACATCCATATGTAGCTGAAGTTCATTAATTTTCATTGCCTTCTAAAATGCATTCAGTAACTATACCACAGTTAATCTTTACTTCTTGTGTACACATACATCAGTTGTTTTCAGTCTTGGTATCATCAACAAGGTAGTCCTGAACATTCTTGTGCATGTGTGCATGCATGTCTCTTTGAAGAAGCCTGGATCTTCTTCTGGGTCTCCCCAGTGGGTGCACTTGAGCCGTCGTCCACTGCATTCTCAGGAACATTAGCAGAGAGCTGGGTAGGAAGTGGAGCAGCCGGGTCTGGAACTGGCACCCAAATGAGATGTTAACATCACAGGTGGGGGCTTTACCAGCTACACCATACTGCTGCCCCTCCCCCCCATTGCATTTTGATTTTCCTGTCCCTTAAGGTGTCATCTCTTCATCGTTTACAGCTCATTCCAATTTCCTCTTCCATGATGCGCTTGTGCAGGCTCCTGGGCAGCAGCCATGAAAGGGTAATGACCCTTAGGGACTGCAGGTAATTTCCCCACCAACAGGAAGAAACAGGGTTCTTGGAGGGGACTGGGTTGGAAGCTCCAAATTCCAGGCAAGGGGGGATAATGAAACTTCTGTGCTTGCAGGCCTGAAAAATGAAACTTCCCAGCTATGAAGACAGGAAGAGTTTCAGCATGCTGGATGGAAATAAGACAAGCTCCCCCCAAGCAGGTTTCAGAATGAAAAGGAGTTCATAGGCTTGTCACCGGAAAGCCCTGGGCAGGCTAGGGCATCAAGCTCAGCTTCCCCCCAGGGTCCGGGAGGCATCAGCGCTTTGGATCCGTTTTCTTCTTCTCCTGGTTCGTCAACTCTTCATCAGACCCCAACCCCCGTGTGCCTGTGCCACTATGGAAGCTGTGACTCTCCCTCCCTCCTCCCCTGGCCCAGGCTCAGGGATCCGTCACTCTATGCTCTACTTCTATGATGTCAGCCCTTCTGTGATCCCCACACAGGGGAGATGGCCCAGCGTTTGTCTTTCTGTGAGAGCCACCCACCCGTCACCTCCATCACCTGCCCAGGGTGCACACAGGGACCAAACATCACACGGGACCAAAGCCATGCACACATGGTGAATTTTATTCATGAGAAGCATGTGCAAATGCTCAAGAAAAGTTCAGTCAGCTCAGCGGATAGCTCCTGGAGACGGGGGCGGGGCGAGGCTACTTGGGGACCACTCTGCAGCAGCTGCCAGGGCTGCTCACTTGGGATGGCAGGATGCAGCACGCCCTCAGCAGGAACCGGAGGATCCTCCTGCCGACCCCGCGACGGCCCTGCCTCTTGCCCTGGGCGCTGGCCTTGGTGTCTGTGGTGTCAGCATCCTTGGGCTCACAGGATGCGGCGGCGGCGGCTTCTGGCTCTGCAAGGTCCACGTGGCTCCCGGCACTGGGGCTGGAGGGCGACGCTTCGGAGGCTGGCTCAGGGGCGGCGCTGGGAACAGGGCTCCACTCTTGCTGTGGCTGGCCTGGTAGGAGAGAGTCAAGTGTGGGGTCACCTTGGGGGCCTTGGGCTCAGCTCCTGGAGGCCCCGAGGCAGGGGGGAGGGTAAGACTCACTGGAGGCCTGGGAGGAGTTGGGGGCGGCGCTGGGAGCAGGGCTCCTCTCCTGCTGTGGCTGGCCTGGTGGAGAGAGTCAAGAGTGGGGTCACCTCGGGGGCCTTGGGCTCAGCTCCTGGAGGCCCCGAGGCAGGGGGGAGGGCCAGACTCACTGGAGGCCTGGGAGGAGTTGGGGGTGGTGCTGGGAGCAGGGCTCCTCTCCTGCTGTGGCTGGCCTGGTAGGAGAGGTCAAGAGTGGGGTCACCTCAGGGGCCTTGGGCTCAGCTCCTGGAGGCCCCGAGGCAGGGGAGAGGGCAAGACTCTCTGGAGGCCTCGGAGGAGTCGCTTTGTGCGGAGGAAATATTGACAGACATGCTTTCAGAGGACACTGATACCACAGACAAGCGGTCCTTCTCTGTGGGGTGGCGCTCCCCGCCCTGTGAGGACTCGGGCAGGGATGCAGGGCCCTGGGGCTAAGGGCCTGGCGTCCCCTCAGTCCCCGTGCCTGGCAGCAGGCCGAGGCCCGCCAGGTACTCCTTGGCCTCTGAGTCGCGGGGAACGCCCAGGGGCTGCAGCAGGGTGACAGCGGCCTCCTTCTCCTCCTGGGTGGCTTCTCGGCCGGAATCGAACCACCAGTGTGCCCTGGCATCCTCTGCACTGGGCCTCCCCGAGGCGTGGACAGTGAGCAGCCAAGCCAGTAGCTCCCGAAGGGCCGGGCTGACGGCACGCGGCAGCACATAGCAGGCACACAGCACCGTGTCCTGCAGCTCCTCCGTGTCCTTGCCGCGGAAGGGCAGCGTGGCCGCCAGCATGGCAAACAGCACCACTCCCAGGCTCCACACATCAGCCTTAAAAGCGTCATAGGCCTCCCCGAGGAAAACCTCTGGTGCGCAGTACTCGGGGGTCCCCCAGAAGCCCCTTACCAGTGTGCCCTGCTCCAGCCGCAGGCTCAGGCCGAAGTCCGCCAGCTTGATGGTCATGTGCTCGTCCAGCAGCAGGTTGCCCAGCTTGAGGTCCCGGTGCACCACGCGCTGGGCATGGCAGTAGCTCACGGCGGCCAGCGCCTGGCCGAACAGGGTCCTGGCCTCGGCCTCGGCCAGGCCGCCCTGCTCAAACACGTAGCTCTGGAGCGAGCCCTTGGTCGCCAGCTCCATGACCAGGAACCGGTGCGTCCTCGTGTGCCGCTCCTCCAGCAGCCGCACGATGTTGTCGTGCCGCAGGCTCCTCAGGATGGCTGCCTCCCCCTGCGCGGACAGCGGGCTGCTGGGAGAGCAGTCTCGCAGGAGGATCTTCACTGCCACGTACTTGCCCGACGCCAGGTGCCGGGCCAGCTTCACCAGGCCAAAGCCGCCCCGGCCGATTACGTCCACAAAACGGATCCCATCCAGAGGAGGATGGAAGTCCAAGGGGTCTTCCATGATGCCGGTCACCTAACTACGCTCTCTCGACTCCCTAAATCACTCGACACACTAGCTAATCACCGATCCTCACTGCACTGCCTACAACACAAAGGGACCACGGGGGACTGACTACCCAGCTGACTAAGACACAGCACCAGCTACTCTCACTACTCTAGCGGCGATGCCGCAAGCCTATCTCAATAATGCAGAAAAAACAAAGAGGAAAAGCCACTAAATCCTCGAACGCTGATACTTCTGAGTGTGCTAGCTGACTAGAGTGGGGGAAGCAAAAATAAAGAAAACTGCAAAAAAAGACCAAATGGGCAAAACAACAACGAGGAGGAAAACAACAAACTAAACAAAATGGAAAAAAGCAAAAACCAAATAGACCCAGAAACAAACAACCAAGAAAAAGCACAAGCAACACCAATGAGCGCAAAGGCTGGTTAGATGGGTCCTAGTTACACAGATCACAAAAGAGTGCTCTCTGGGTAAGGCGGACAAAAATCTAGGCCCCCGTAGCAGCTATATATACTTTTTGGGGGTTCACCTCACATAATGGCGCCTTGTGAGAGCAGAGCAAGAAATGGACCAGTCACAGCCCAGCCAGGGACTGTGTAATATGACTTTCATAACAGTGGTGACTTATGAAGTCAGAGCAAGAAATTGACCAATGGGAGCTGTAGTTCATCCACAGTGGTTTTTCTCGATAATCTTCCAATAAAATTAAAACGATACCCAAAGAGTTTTTGGCCTAGGTGGTGATAGGGCTTGATACTTAATTTTGAGAAACTCCAACCTATAGATTGCTTGGGTGGCCTTCTCATTACTAGTTTAAATATGATACGTTGCATCTTTTGAAGACCTCCTAGTGTCTCCACTTAGTATAGCCCCTCCTTTGTCTTTACTCTCTGAGTGATGGGTCTCAGAATGATGGAACAACATCTCTGGCCTCGGTAAACTCAACAAGTGTTCTGCTGCCCAAGACACCGCCAGGTACACTGTTCGCACCTCCAGAGCTGAGAGGAAGGTGGCTCTGTCACCCTTTCCCCCTAAGTCATCGTCAGATTTCTTGGCAGAAACCCTGGAAGCCCAGAAGGTAGTGGGGTCTGTGCAGTCCAAACATGGAAGGCCCAATCAGAGGCAGCCGAGAAAGCTACATCCTCTGAGACTGTCCTCCACCCGGTAGGGAGGAATCGAGGCACTGCCAGGCACTTGGGGTTTTTGGGCTCCTGTAACAACAACCACCAAAACTCCTGGCTCCTGGCTTCAGCCTGGCCAAGGCCTGGAGGTCATTTATGGGCTGTATCAGAGGATGGAGGAGCTCCCTAGCTCCCTCTCCCTAGCTCCCTCCCTCCCTCTCTCTCTCTCTCTCTCTCACTAGCACTCTCTCTTTCCCCTCTTCACTCTCACACACATAGAATGCAACTTAGGAAAAAAGGAGAAACTCCCTGCTTCAACTCCTCAGGTCCTGCACTGCCCAGAACTAGGACGGGACGATGGCCGCATCACAGCCTCACATCTGTCTCCTTGGGACAGCTTCGTGCTGAGCCCTCAGGAGCAGTGTTTTCCCAAGGAAGCGACAAACTCATCTGTCGCTCCCCGTCTTCATGGGGGAACGACACTAAACCCTGCCTAGGCTTCATATCCGAGTCACGGCACCATTATGTCGCTCCCCGTCTTCGTGGAGGAACGACACAGGACCCTGCGCTGTTCTTTCGTCTGCTCGGCCTCCCTCCCGGGTTTGCTGCTGGTTCTTCCCGGGGTGGCTACCGTCCCTTCCACCTCCGTGGAAGGGCGGTTCCCCCTGCCACATTCCCCACTTCCGCGGGGGAGCGGCACACCGCCGGCCTCTCGGGGGCTGCACAGGTGTTCCCCTTAGATGTTCCCCTTAGATGTTCCTGGTGCATGTCTCTCTCCTCCTTTATAGTCCTCTTCCACCAATCCCAACTCTGCTACCCACACGCCGAGTACGCTGCTCTCCTCCAATCAGGAGCAAGTCCTACAGTTTATTGGCTGAACTGGAGGCAGCTGTGTAGAAGCTGTTTTCTTCTCTCCCAGCGCCATATTGTGGGAGAGCAGATGCATAGAATAAGTCTTAATTCCAGTAACTTAGTCTAGTCCGAGTTGCTCCCCACACTCATCTCAGGTAGGAAGTGAGCCCGGTAACCCTTGCCCCCACATAGCAAGTGGATCTGTGTCTCCTGCAGTTCTTGAGGAGCCCCCAGGGCCCAGCACAGCCATGGGCCCCAGGAACACATGATGGTCCCTCTGCACCGACTGCCCACACCCTCTTGGGAGAGGAACCCCTCCCTGGGGAGATGACCCCCTCCTCCATGTCCAGGGACACTGCACAATGCGATTTCTCCATGATTTCCTGCAGTGCTGGTCACCTCCTCAGGGCTGAGAGGAAAGAACCAGCACCCCAGGAATTCTCACTACAGTTTTGCTACAAAAGTCAAAAAAATTAAATTATGAAGACGTTGGGGACTGTTTTCCATTAAGCACAGGTAAAAACTCATCTTTGTAATAAGGTTGGAGTTTTTGAAGGCAGATCAAATAAAGATGAAACTCAGGATACTACCAAAACATCACCAGATATAGAATTCAAAATTTATTTAGGTGCAAAAACTTTTGAAAACCTGTGCATAGTTTGTCCTTAACATACTTTGCCCGTGAATGTTTTGTATCCCCTCTCCTATGCGTGAATTTCAAAAACTGCAACAAATAAGCTCATCCTTTATTTCCATTTTCCATGAGGTTTTCCAAGTCCCTTCCAGTAACCCAGTTCAAGGAAAAACAGAGTTCCATCCGGACTGCAAAACAGCGTCGGCAAGGACGAGAGACACACCACAGCTCTCCTTCTCATCACTCTCCACAGTGCTGGTGGGAGCCTTGCAGACCCATGTGGTTTTAGAAAATTCATCTCCCCCCAAGGTAAGTGATGGCCCTGAGGACTCTGTGTCCCCAGCTCTGCTCAGCAGTAGCCTGAACATGCTGTGGAAAGTCCCTATCTTGTCCACGCTGGACTAAAATGAGGAGGCGGAATCTCTGTGGGCACTGCCCCAAGAATTCCATTCAGTGTAAATCCAAGGAAACTGCTAAGAAAATGTCTTATTAGACTGTTTTTATTTTTTAAAACCTATTTATTTGAAAGGTGGAGTTACAGATACAGGGAGACAATAAACACACACGGGTGGAGACAGAGAGGAGAGAGAGGAAAGAGGGGGAGAGAGAGAACTTTCATTCACTGGTTCACCTGCCCTGCCCCCCCCCCACAATGGCTACCATGGCTTAGACTAGGCCAGTCTGAAGACAGGCACCCAAACTCCATCCAGGTCTCCCCTCAGTTGGCAATGCCCCAAGTAGTTGGCCATCTTCCTCTGCCTTCCCAGGCACGTTAGCGGGGAGCTGGATCAGAATCAGAGCAGCCGGGACTCAAACCAGCCTCCTGATATGGGTTGCCAGTGTCACAGGTGGCAGCTTTACCTGCTATACCACAGCACTGGCGCCTAAATTCTGAGAGCCAAGGCGCCTCCATTTTAAAAAGTAGCCTCCATTTTCTGGAGCAGGCCCAAGTTCCCGTAAATGCAAACATTCAACAGTTACCAAAACCAAATAAGGAAATGCCCTGGCCCGAGCCAATCAGGATCAGACTCGTACAACCAAGAGCTCCAGAATGGCACCGTTCAATCCACTGTAGCCCCGTACCCCAAACCCTTGCTGATGTCACACTGCAGCTTTGTCTTTTAAAAACGCTCCCGAACAAAGCTCAGGGCCTTCCTCTGACCTCCACTGCGTCGGTTGGTTAGATGAGGTCCCTGCAGCAGCTTATACTTCCAGAGTAAACCTTGCTTTTGCATTTCGGTGAGATCAAGTCTCTGGTGATTTTTGGGGATTCAGTGATCTGGGCATAACAGTTTCTTCTAAGATTTATTATTTGAGAGATCCGTGGAAGAGCAGGGATTGATCTTCCATCCTCTGGTTCACTTCGTACATGGCCGCAACAGCTAGGGAGGGTCAGTTTAAAGCCAGGAGCCTACGGGGCTGGCACTGTGGTGTAATGGGTTCAGCCAGCGGTGCAGTACTGGCATCCCATATGGGTGCTGGCTTGAGTCTCAGCTGCTCCACTTCCAATCCAGCTCCATGCTAATGTGCCTGGGAAAGCTGCGAAAGATGACACAGATGCTTAGGCTGCTTCTCCCACAGTGTAGACCCAGAAAGCTCCTGTTCCTGCTTCCACCTGGCACTTCCCTTGCCATTGTGGCTATTTGAGAAGTGAACCAGCAGATGTAAGACCTCTCTCTTTGTATCTCTGTCTGTCTCCTCTCTCCCTCTCCCCTTCTACTCTGTGTGTCTGTGTGTGGTGTTGCATGTCTTGTCTGTTTGTCTGTCTGTATTCCTCCCTCTCTCTCTGTAACTCTACCTTTCAAAAAATAAATCTTTTTTGCCAGCGCTGCGGCTCACTAGGCTAATCCTCTGCCTTCGGCGCTGGCACACCAGGTTCTAGTCCCGGTAGGGGCGCCCAGATTCTGTCCCAGTTGCCCCACTTCCAGGCCAGCTCTCTGCTGTGGCCAGGGAGTGCAGTGGAGGATGGCCCAAATCCTTGGGCCCTGCACCCTGGGAGACCAGGATAAGTTACCTAGCTCCTGCCATCTGATCAACGCAGGGTGCCAGCCGCAGCACGCCGGCCACGGCGGCCATTGGAGGGTGAACCAATGGCAAAGGAAGACCTTTCTCTCTGTCTCTCTCACTGTCCACTCTGCCTGTCAAAAATAAAATAAAATAATCAGAAAATAAACCTTTTTAAAAAGCCTAGAACTCCACCCAGGTCTACCACAGGGGTTGCAGGTGCCCAGGTACTTGGATCATATGCCGCTGGTTTCTCAGGTGTGTTAGTATGGAGCTGGCTTGGAGCCAGGGCTTGAACAGGCACTTCAAGTATGGGATGCTGGCATCATAAGCAGTGTCTTAGCCCGCTGTGCCATACACCAGTCCCCAGAACCAAGCTTTCTTTCTCCCTCCAAATCTGATATCAGTGAAGTAAAGGAGTTTTGCTTGTCCTCAGGGAGCTGTCACAGACTTTTGTCAAACTTGGTTCACTGGGTGTGGTGATAAATAATCTGCACGTGTGTTGATGTGTTTTATCAAGCTGATGAGAGCCCTTGTACTCAGCTAAAGGCTGCTGGGGACCATGTGCTAATGGGGTGGACATGCAGAACCAGTGACAGCCAGGTTACTCATCAACAGAGGAAAGTGTCTACACAATGCCTCTTTAGTGGGGCAACGAGACCCAAAACATCACCCTTCACCCGTGGCCAGGAAGGGCAGGGGACACAGGCACAGCCCCCTGGGTGGCCACCCCTGGTCACAGTGCCTGAGCTGGATGAGCTCATAATGCAGGTAGCGTCCATGCCAGGGCTCTGCCGGGCGGAGACAGAGGGTACCAGGAAGAGTTCTCCATCCGGAGGGCTTCCAGGGGGGCTGTGAATGCCAGGATGGTGGGAGCCCTCTCTCCTGGGAAGGGAGCCTGTGTCTGAGTTGGAGTCCAAGGGACAGAGCTGTGAGAGAAGGGGCTGGGGGCGGGCAGAGAGAGAGAAGGAATGAATGAATGGGGCTGGTCCTGTCCTGGAGATCTGGACCCCAGTTCTAATGCAGGTTGACCATGGCACCCTCAGATCCCATGAGATCCTCAGTGTCTGGATCTTTTGCAGCCCACAAGTAATTAAGTTGTCTTTCTTTGTTCTCATTCTCTCTGTAGTCTTACTGTTCCTTACACTGGCTGATTGAGAGCATTCTGGGTAATGAAGTTAGCTGTTGTGTGTGCACTCTGTGAGCTGACATAAAATGTGCCTCTGGAACTGACCTAAAGCTGCCTCTGCAGACTGCTCCTGGACCCCTGGCCTGTGGGCAGGCTGCCCCACCCCTCAGACATCTGGGGCTGCCTCTAACCTTGGGCTGTGTGGGTTCTGTTCCCAAGCCCTTGGGACGCAGCCCCGCATGCTCATGTGCCATCATGTGTCCCGCAGCATGCACCTGCACGCCTGCAACTATTTACCTGCTTCTCCGCTAGGACTGTGTGAGTGCATGGGGACACCCCAAAAGTCTGTGCATGGTGGAGTTAAGCTTGGGTGGATCACTCTCCAAGTATCTGCAATAGCCAGGGCAGGCCCAGGCTCAGGAGCTCAGAACTCCATCCAAATCTCCCATGTGGGTTCTGGGACACGGTCACTTGAGCCATTACCTGCTGCCTCCCAAGCTGCGCATTCCAGGAAGCTAGAATCAGGAGCAGAGCTACAATTGTGAATCCCAACACCCAGATGTGGGTTCAGGGTATCCTAAGGGGCTTCTTAACCACCACACCAGATGCTTACCCCCTCAAGTGATTTTTAATCAGTAAAGAAAATGGAATCACGGAGGCCAGCACTGTGGTGTAGCAGGTAAATTTGCCGTCTGCAGCCCCAGCATCCTATATGGATTCTGGTTCAAGTCCCAGCTGTTCTACTTCCAATCCAATTCCCTGCTAATGAGCCTGAAGACAGACCAAAGTGCTTGGGCCCCTGCACCCTCATGGGAACCCCCAGAAAAAGCTCCTGATTCTTGGCTTCAGGACAGCCCAGCTCTGCCCATGCAGCCATCTGGGGAGTAAACCCACAGATGGAAGGTCTCTCTCTCTCTCTCTATGTCTGTCTCTCTCTCTTTCTCCCCCCCCCAACTCTGCCTTTCAAATAAATAAACATTTTAAAAATAAGTAAATTCTAAAAGAGAGACACTCAGGCACAGAGTGCAGGTTTCTGTGAAAACATGAATGGGAGTAAAATTATAAATCTTAATCAGAAAAACATTGGGAGAAGCAGAAAGAGCATGTATGTTCTGCTTTAAAGCCTGTTCCAGACCTAAAGTCATGCATTGTTTTGCAGACGCAAATATCGCGGTTTTCCAGTCCTGAAACATTGATAAGTTCTGATAGAGTCAGAGGCACGGTGCTTGGCGGGTAGCGAGGAAGACTTTGGTGACGTAAGCAGAACGTGGTCCACGCCTCCGTCTCCGAGGGGAAAGGCAGGCGCAGCATCAGACACGGGTGGCAGTGAGTCCCAGCGGGACAGACAGTCTTGGGTGGAAATAAAGAGTTACTAGATACTGTAACACGCTGTGTTGAACTTCTCTCTTTTGCTATTGTACTATCTCTGTACTTAGGCGTTGGGCTTTATACTTTTTTCCTAAAAACGCAGCCAGCTCTAGCTGAGAGCCGTTGTCCCTGTATCTGTGCCCCAGTTTGCCAGTCAGCACCCATCGAAACACCAGACTCAGGCACACAAACTGTGTCCCTGCACTTTATTATTTTGAAACAACTCTAGAGCAGACAACAGTGTCCAGCTAATACAGGTGTGAGAGGAAAGTCAGCTGCCTTAGGCTCTCTTATGCATGGCTGTGTTAAAAACGGCCATCGGCATTTAATGGAAGGGAATGGCCGTGGCCTAAGGTGTAGGCCAGAGACTTAATTACGGGAGACATAGGCTCTCCATGACTGACTTCCTGTCTCTCCTTGGAGCTCCTGTCTCACTGAAAGCTCTGCGCTTTGCTTATCCTGTTCCCTAAACGCATGAGGCTCATTTCTACCTCTCAGAAGTTAAACACAGCACTTCCTTTCCTTTTCTGGGTCATGTCTAGGTAGCCTGCAAAACTCAGCCAGCACTCACAACCTGTGGGAGGCCACCCATGAACCAGCATTTTCCCTCCACTGCAAGGTCACACACAGTGCTGCCCAAGTCACGCAGAGTGCTGCCAGGTCAACACAGTGCTGCCCAGGTCATGAGAGTGCCCTGGGAGGAGGGGATCTGCAAAGCTCATCCTAGGACAACAGAAAAGTGGGGGCAGGAGGCTGGCCATGGAGAAGAGCAGACAGGGGAAGCCACAGCCAGGGCAGGATCCAGCTCATGGGGAACTCCCCAGGGGGAATGCCAAGTCATAGTCTACGGAAGCCATGGCCAATCTTTCCATCCCAAGGCGGTGCCTGTGATGCACCAGTAGATAGGAGCTCTCTCTGCCTCTCAAATAATTAAGAAAAAAATGAAACAACCTTAGGAAACCTCCCCAGCCACACTTCAGCCACATTGCACTCCTGCAGCCACTTTCCAGGATAAATGAATAGGGCTCCCGAGGCTGGTGAATGGGAGGGAGACCCTGGGCCTGACACAGCCCTCACCGGCGAAGATGCCGCTAGAACCTTCCACCCTCCATCCACCTGCTCTGCCCCAGCAACTGCGGAGAGCATAGCAGGTTTCTCTTCAGATTATGGTGCCATGAAAGGAAACAGCAGCTGGGGTTATGGATGGAAACAGAGAAAGAACATTTCAGGGCCTGTGGCGTTCACTGCCGTCTGTGGCAGCACCAACAAGTGCAAACAGTGAAGCCCACGGCGGAGAGGTTCATCGCACTCGGGTTGCACAGATTATTATTCACGGGCACCACACTGCGGAGGGGAAGGAACAGCAGAGAAGGTGACCCAGGTGAGGAAAGGCCTGGAATCAGAAGATCCAGCTCAGCCCCTTCCAGTGCACGTGACCTCAGGCAAGTTAACGGATCTCTGAGCCTTCACGTTTCTCATCTAATACGGAACAGAAAAAACTAGAACTATTCAGACGGAACTGCCCTGATCTTTCCACCCTGGCTACCTCAGATCCACCCACATCTAATCTGCATTTTCCATCTCTCCCTTGTGCAACAAGGAGCATCTTACGGACTACCAGTTTCTGCTTAGCCACGGGGCGAGCCTGGCACCCTCTCCAGAGTGCAGCCTTCATTTTTTTCCTAAAACCGTCACTTTCTCTCTCTGCTGGATCGTTGTCAGTAACACTATGCTCCAGTATTGCCCCACTTAAAAGCCTCCACCATGTGCAAGACAAACCTCGGAGTCTGACGCCTTTCTCCAGTTACCGTCCACTGGTCTGGTTCTGGCACGGCAGAGAAGAGCTCTCTCCTTCTTCCCAAGGACTCTGGCCTCCGTCCTCCCTCCTGCGCGTGCCCAGTGATGTGAGTGGCCACTGCTTCCCTCTGTCCCCAGCCTTCCCTACCTCTCAGTGCTTGCCTCTCTCAGCTCCAGGTGCACCACCCCCATCGACTTGCAAACAGCTTTCAAATCCTCTCCACCTGTATCTCCAGCCACCAGCCCAGTTCAAGCTGTCATCATGCACTAGGCTGTCCTTACCTGGTCTCCACGTTTTGACTCTTTGCAGAGCAGCCAGGAGGTGTCTTCAAAAAGGGAAACTCAGGGAAAGCTGTTCCTTGACTCAAAATCCTTCAATGGGAGCCGAGGTTGTAGCACGGTGGGTTAAGCCACTGCCTGCAATGCTAGCATCCTATAGCTGCTCCACTTCTGATGCAGCTCCCTGTTAGTGGCTTGGCAAAGCAGTGGACGATGGCCCAAGTGTTTGGGTCCCTGAAACCTATGTGGAAGACCCAGATAAAGCTCCCAGCTGCTGGTTTGGCTTGGCTCAAGCCTGACCATTGCGGCCATCTGGAGAGGGATCTAGAGGGTGGATGATCTCTCTAGGGTTCTTTCAAATAAGTAATTTTTTTTTTTTAAAGAGATAGGGATCAAAGCCATTTGAACTACAACTTAGAACTGCCAGCCCCAAGCAATGCATTTGTCGGGAATTCACTGCCCTGGGGAGAGCGGAAGGAGCCACGCTCCACAGCATGAGGCTGAGTCCAGTCTCTGGGGCCAGACTGCTAAGCTCAGATTCATCTGGGCCCAGGTGAGGATCGAAGTAATTGTGTGCTTTGATTTCCTCATCTAGAAACTGGGGGTAAGGGCAGCACGTGGCCCCAAAGTGTGTAAATATAAACTATTAACCCATATAATGTGTCTGGCAAGGGGTGGGCATTTGGTGAAAAAGTAGTTTAGGGTGCTGCTCGGAACGCCCACATCCCACTTGGGTTCGGGTCCCAGCTCTGCTTCCTGCTATTTTGCACCCTGGGAGGCTGCAGGAGGTGGTTCAAGTATTTGGGAACTGCCAGCTGCATGGGAGACCCAGGTAAAGTTCCAGGCTCCAGGCTGCAGTCTGGCTGTGCAGGCGTTGGTGGGTGAATTGGTGGACAGACGATCTCATCTGTCTCATTCAAATAAAAATTAAAATAAATTTAAAAATCTTAAAAACATGTCTGGCATGTGACAACTTTATACATGTTAGTTATTATCCCAAGTAATCTAAATAGAGAATGGGAGAAATATTTTGTTGAAAATGAATTTTTTTAAATAATTATTTTATTTATTTGAAAGACAAAGTTAGAGAGAGAGGTAGGTCCAGAGAGAGAGTTCTTCCATCTGCTGGCTCACTCCGCAAATGACCTCAACAGCCAGAGCTGAGCTGATCTGAAGCCAGGAGCCAGGAGCCAGGAGCTTCTTCCGGGTCTCCCATGTGGGTGCAGGGCCCAAGGACTTGGGCCATCTTCCACTGCTTTCCCAGGCCATAGCAGAGAGCTGGATCAGAAAGAGGAGCAGCCAGGACTTGAACTGGTGAACGCATGGCATGCCGGCACTGTAGGCCGGGGCCTTAACTCACTGCGCCACAGCGCCAGCCCCTAAATTGCTTTTCTGAGATGAGATAAACGAGGGTGTGTCCCAGCTGGGCCTGGGGTGGGCACAAGCTGAGCTCTGGGGGCAGTAGGGGGGTCACTGCTGGACCTGCCTTCCCTACCTGGGACTCCCAGCCCAGACTCCACCAGGAGACCAGCTCTCCTGGGTGTTGGGGACAGAAGCTTAATTCCCAGGGAACTGGGTAGAAGAGGGCGCTGCTTCACAGTCAGGCATACAGACATCTTGTAGTCAGTTCTATCTGTTTTCTGCTCTGGTTGGAGAACAGGTTTGAGACAGTCACTGACTGGTGTTTGAGGTGCGGGTGGACAGTGCTGGTGAGAGCAGCACTGACCCCAGACAGTGTACCAGCAGAGTTCAGAATCATGAGGTTAGCTTTGTGTATCAGGGTAAGCAGCCACTTGCCATGCCAGCATCTCATCTGAGAATGGATTTGAGTCCCAGCTGCTCAGCTTCTGATCCAGTTCCCTGCTATAACGCACCTGGGAAGGCAGCAGCAGATGGCTTGAGTGCTTGGGCCACTGCCACCTATATGGGAAACCTGGATGCAGTTCCTGGTTCCTGGCCCAGTCCAGGCTGATGCAGCCATTTGGTAAGTGAACCAGCGGATAGAAGGTCTCTCTGTATTTATATATATCACACTGCCTTTCAAATAAATACATTTTAAAAAATTAAAAGTTTTTAGGGATTCAAATCCAAGACTATGAAGAACTTCCATAGCTCAAGAACAAAAAACCCCAAAGAACCCAATTTTACAATGGGCAAAAGATTTGGATAGGCATTTCTCCAAAGAAATACAAGTGGCCAACAAGCACATGAGAAGATGCTCAACATCACTTGTCGCTCCCCCACTCGCAGAGGAACGACACCAGACCCTGCGCTGTTCTTTTTGCCCGGCCCTTCCCGGGTTTGCTGCCAGCCTCCCACTCGCAGAGGAACGACGCCATCCTGGGTTAGCTGCCGCCCCCACCCCCCGCCTCGGTGGAGGAGCGGCACCCCCGCCACTTTCCCCACTTCCGCGGAGGAGCAGCACACCACCGGCCGGCTCTCTCAGGGGCTGCTCAGATGTTCCTCACACGTTCCCTGGTGCACGTTGTCTCTCTCCTCCTTTATAGTCCTCTTCCACCAATCCATGCTTTGCTGCCCACACGCCGAGCACGCTGCTCTCCTCCAATCAGGGGCAGGATCAGCTCCTGCAGCTTGTTGGTCGAATCAGTGAGGCAGCTGCATAGAAGTTGTTTGCTGTCTCTCAGCGCCATATTGTGGGAGAGCAGATGCATACAATTAGTCTTAGCAGTTCTAGTAACTTAGTCTCGGTTGCTCCCCACAATCACTAATTATGAGAAAGTGGAAAGAAAGCAAAACCACAATGAGATAGTGCTTCATTGGTAATAGTGCCTATTACCAATATACCACCACCTAAAAACACCCCAGAGAGCAAGAAGTGCTAGTGTGGACGTGGAGAGGTGGAAGCCTCGCACACTGCTGGTGGAAATGTAAAATGGCATAGTCACTATGGAAAACTGTATGGCAGTTCCTCAACAAAATT